TATAAATAAAATGTTGTTCATAAAAATAAAAATGTTATTAATTTTAATATGAGTATACACATTAACATGTAGTACGAGATACCTTTATAATATTACAGGAGCCAATAAATTATTTTATGTACATGACATTTTTTAATAGCAATAATGAGATCATTTCCACTTTCAGTGTTTAAATAGTCAATGAACTCTAAACATTATACATATTTTAATATTTCTTTTAATTTGAAGTTCACTTTCTAAAGTTTTAATTAGAAGTCGGTTTCTCTCTTTTCGCCGGGAACTTTATATTTAAGTTAGTTCCTCTCAGGTGCTTCGTTTGAACGTGTTATTAAAAAAACAAAATTACATATTTATTCAAACTGTGGAAAGAGACCTCTATTTAATCCGTATTTCCTCGTGGCTTAAATTATTTTTTCAACTGCGCAAAAACTTTGAAAGACTAAGAATTCGCCAAAAAGAGTATCTAAATTGAGTCAGTAAATTGAGAAAAACGAATTGTAAGTTGTAGGCAAAGCCATTCAATTATTCAAATATGTTGTTATTAAACTGAAAGTTATTTTCGAGATAACTAACAACACTTGACAAAAAACGGGAGCCCCCTGGTAGATAATGACCCGCAATATGCCCATTAAACGATTGCTCTTTTATATTAATTTCTTGCGCATATCAAACATTACCGAAAACAAGTCAACTATAATTAAATTATTTTCTTACTTTTTACAGCAAATTTTAAGAAAGTTGCAACGTTATGTAAAAATCAAACAAAATACATGGACAAAAATGATCGATCACCGAGTTACCGCGTACCAAGCTCAGTGGGAAGAACCTTATTACAAAATTGATTGCTCAGAATTGAAAAATCAGTACAAATCAGTGCAAATTTAAAAAAAGCAGGACATTAGCGTACTGATTGAAGGAATGAATAAAACCAGTACGAAAGTTGAAAAATCAGTGCTGTACTGATAAAATTAGTACGTCTGGCAACCGTATTTGTATGGGACTTGCCACGCCGATATAAAGTTCCAGTACTCTACCATAAACACTTCCAGAGATACTTATTATGAAAAATTCGGTTTATATGGGAGGCGCCACGCCCCTTTTCAAATAGTCCGAATTTTTATTCATGAGTATGCGATTGAATTCATATATGTATCTCCATACCCAGTTCCAGTGCTGTACCATGAACACTTTCAGAGAAATGCAATATGAAAAATTTGTATTGTATGGAAGGGCCTACGCCCTTTTACAATAGCTCCAATTCTTCTCAAGAGTATGCGGTTGATTTCATATACATAGTAGCTCCATACCAACTTCCAGTACTCTACCATGAACATTTCCAGAGATATACAGTATGAAAATTCGGTTTGTATATGAGGTGCCAGGCCCCTTTTCCAATAACTCTAATTTTTCTCCATGAGCATGTGATTGTTTTCATATATTTTCGTACCAAGTTCAAAAATTTCACCATGAACGCTTCCAGAAATATGCAGTATGAAATATTCGGGTTGTATAAGAGGTACCACGCCCTCTTTTTCAAAAGCTCCAATTTTTCTGCAAGCATGTGTGATTGATATTATATATCCCCACACCAAGTTCCAGTACTATACCATGAACATTTCCAGAGATATGCAGTATGAAATACGGTTTTTATAGAAGGTGCCACGCCCCCTTTTCCAATAACTCAAATTTTCCTCCAAGAGTATGCCATGGATTTCATATATCTCCATACCAAGTTCCAATACTTTACCATAAACTCTTCCAGACATATGCAGTATGAAAAATTCGGTTTGATAGGGGGGTGCCACGCCCCCTTTTGAAATAGGTCCAATTTTTCTCCAATAGTATACGATCGATTTCATACACGTCAATACCCAGTTCCAGGACTCTTCCATGAACACTTCCAGATATATGCAGTAAATTTTTCTCCAAAAGTATGCGATCGATTTCATATATCTCCAAAACAAGTTGCAGAAATCTACCATGCACATTTCCAGAGATATGGAGTATGAAAAAGTCGGTTTGTATGGGAGGTTCCACGCCCCTTTTGCATATCAAGATTATTGTTAGCCTATAACCATCTTTTGAACGTCTGCAGCAGGTGTCCGCAATTTCGAAAAAATCGGTTCAGCTGTTTTCGAGCTTTGCGATATACATAGAATCTATGTCATAGATGGATGCGTGTTGCTGCTTTTAATATAACCTAGCAGCAGGGTTTTTATGCGTAATTATATACATAAATATGTATGTACAATAGGGTGGATCAAAATAAATCAAGTATTTTTTTTGGATCGGACACACGAAAACTAGTTCCTGGGTACCTCTAGAAAGTACTTACCGAATCTGAGCTCTTAATATTAACGGGAAGATTATGCTCATCATAGTTTTCCATTTTCAATTTAGTCTCATATAAAAATGGTCATATTTTATCACCAATAGATCGTTAAACCAGTTGCATCGTAGGGTTCTTCGACTTCACTAGAAAGTCGACTTTCGACTTTTCGATCTACTCTGTACAGTCGACTTTAAAAGTCGACCGATCCACGAAGAAAAGTCGACTTTGTTCGAATTTTTTCGACTTTTTTAATAAAAAGAAAATGTATTCAGTATACTCTGCATTTAACTCATATATTAGCTATAAATATAGGAGTCAGAATACGCCAAAAATATCATGATTTACCAGTGGTCTTTAGAATAATCTGTAATTTAGTGAAATTCAATGCTAGGTAAAAATAACAGACACTCAAGGATTTTTAAAAATTTGGAAAATTTTTCCAGTTATACAGCATGAACATTTTTGAAAAATGTTTTAAATTCTCAAAAAAAAAAATTCTAAAAATTTTTTGCATCGATATTTGGTAATTACGGACAACTTTTTGAAAAATGTGGCCTTTCCGATGGAACAGAATTGGCGGGTATTGGTAGAAATTTAAGTGCCACTTTATAAGCATGGATAAATATGGGAGTAGCCCATACAGCTAGTAGATTGGGACTATCCACACGACTAATGTCGCATATTAACTGGAATCCTACCAGCAACGTTTTTAACGGTGTTTAAAATTTTGTACCTTACGGATTGGTCAAATTCGAACCAAAGACTGTCTGTTATATATTTATCTTACCTCATTATTAACTGAAGATTGTGGAGACAAACGATAAACAAATTTCAGGAATTTGTTTTCGTATAATAATTTTATGCGCTGCTCTTAAATGATTTGTACTGTTGTACTGTCATTAAAATTCATTTCGCTACCACACTTTTCACATTTCACTTCAGTTTTATTGACAATTTTTTTTTAAATACGACCAACCATCACTCCGCGAGCTTGTTGGAAGATCAGTTTTCATTGGCAAATAAATTAAAAAAAAGTCGAGAGTCGAAAGTGAAAAGTCGACTTCAGTCGACTTCCATAAACTGAAAGTCGATCACTAAAATTCGACTTTCAGGAGTAAAAAGTCGATTTTGGTCGAAAGTCGAAGTCGACTTTGCCATCCCTATTGCATCGTCAATATTTATAGGAAATTGAACGCTCTACAAAAATGGTCTCATATACTCTTTTCATTAATCTAACCATTTAAAAGATATTCAAGGTCAAAGAGTGAAGTAATTTTAGGAAAATAACTTTTTGTTTTGAATTTTGTGACTAACTAAAAAATAATTATTGTCAAATGAGTTTCAATTATTTCTATAGGAAATTGAACGCTCTACAAAAAAGGTCTCTTGTGGTTAATCGATTACTCTAACCATTGTTATACGCTGACATAGTTGCAACACAACAAAATATGTGATGAATAAAGTTCAGTTGCATTTAAAGCTTAAATCAAGAACGTTGTCACATCATGGCGATCGTGCCAGTGAGATGAACAGTGAAAAGAAAAATATATAAATATGTGATTGAAAGTTGGACATAATATAGTGTAACAAAGTGAAGTGTATGCTAGTACCAACATCAACGTCACAAACGAACAACCAAGATGACAATCATCATCTACGGAGTCAACGTGCTGTGTGTGTAAAACGGCGTCCATATAGGCATACTATACTCACGCGCTGAAATCAACATGTTGCATGTTTGAAACTGAATCAACATAAATTAGCGCTGAAACCAACGTGTTGGGGCTATAAATTGTAAAGTCGCTACAAGAAACGCTCAAAGATCCTGGTGCGGGACCACGGCCGTTGTCCATTCAAGAATACAGGGCAAGGCAACGGTGACAACAAATTAAAGAGCAACAACAACGACAACAAGAAAAGAAAACGGCAATACCGATCGTGCGTCCACCTAGAAGAAGAGGTGGAAAAAGGAATAAACAGCTACGGCGGCGGGCGCATCTAAAAGAAGAAGTCCAAAGGAAGCACACCCCAGAAGAGCTGAAGGAGATCTTTAAGGAGTTGCTGGAACCGGAAAAGGAATTGGCAGGCAGAAAGAAGACGTCCAGCAAAGGAGTGCTGAATAAGCACCCAATGTAAAAAAATAAAATAAAAAAAGAAAAAAAAAAAATAATATTTTTAGATTTCTCTTGCAACCGTTGCGAAAACGCAGATTTCAAGGAAATCAAACATGTAATTTAGTGTCACACATAGGGACGATAGGTATTACAAATGAAATTATTGTAAATAATTTACCTTTAAAATTTTTCGAAAATTTTTAATAAAAGGTAACTAAAAAGGTAGATTTGTGTCAAAATGTTATGTGTAGAGACTGAAATAAATTTAAAATACTTGTATATTCAAGATAAAAGAAGAATATAATGATTAAACTGGCAACAAGGCCAAATAATAAAACGTATACTTTTAAAATTACATTGTGCGAGGAAGGACAAGATGTAGATCAGTACATACTTAGAGAAATTAGGAAAATAGTCAAAGCGTTAGAGAACATAAACTTAAACTGCATAGACGCATATGTAAGTGTTGAAGAAGCCAATACATTGTTTGTTAGAGGTATAAGAAATTAAAAAAAAAAAATTAAAAATAACTTTTTTTTATCCCTTTGTTTTAGGAAAATATAATGGGGAAGACAGAATCAAAAGTCGCCGATAACAACGGCAACGTTGTAAATGAGATCGAAATAATAGAAACGCCAAAAGCAACTAACATTTTGCTAATTATTCTTTTAACAATTGTTCTGACAAAATCTGCCTACGATCTATACCAATCGCATAAAGGCGGTATAAAGAAAAAATATCTAAAAAGAGTCGCCTCGATTGAAGAGATATAATGAGCCCATGGGAAACTGTTGTTGAAAAAATTAAAATACAGAAAAATATCTTTTTAAAATCACTCAAGTGCCTCACCCTAAATCGTTCAATACATAGAAATACTGTATTAAAACATCTAAAAATCTTGCATAACAGCGTAGAAAACATTAGATGCATAATTAACGCTTATAACAGTCGTTTTACGACAAGGCATCAAAAACTAGCCAACGAAACATTTAACGATCTCAAAGAGAAATCAATAAAAACTCATTAAAATTTGGTATAGAGCAAAATATTTCAATTAAGCTAGAAAAACAAATTGAAATAGATTTGGATTCAATACCGCAGCTAGACGACAGTAGTAGTAAAGACTCAGATAGCAACATAGACAATACTAAAGAAAGTAAAAAGATTGAGGACACCAACACAATGCCGCAGACGGCCGTAGAGTTTCTTAGTAATGCCGCGCGACTCATACCAGAGTTTGACGGTAAAGCAGAAAATGCGCAGTTTCTTGGACGCGTTGGAACTGGGGCAATTAATTAAGGAAGACAACGTGATCATAGCGATAACCTTGATAAAGTCCAAGCTAAAAGGGGCTACTAGAAACCTAATAAGTAACGAAAGCACAATAGATCAAATAATAAACTGAAAATAGCAGTCAAATGCGAATCAGTTGAAGTAATAACTGCTAAATTGATGAACATAAGGCAGCAAGGTAAGACAGCCAATGCCCATATAAAAGAAATAGAAGATCTGACTAGGGCATTAGAAAATGCATACATTAGTGATGGCTTGGGAACAGATTTTGCCAATAAATACAGCACACAAGCAGCGGTCAAGGCGATGACCAAAAATTGCACTAACGAAAAGGTCAAATTGGTAATGGAGGCAGGCAATTTGAATAATAGGAATGAGGCCGTCTTAAAATTTGTCAATAGCTGCACAGAAACAACTGGGCAGCAAAACACAATAATGTTCCTAAACAAGAACAATAAAAGAACGAACCAATATTGGAATAACAATAGTAGAGGAAAATACAACTATAACAATCGCAATCACTCCCGTGGACGCGGAAGTTATGGAAACAACAATTATTATAATAATAGAGGACGCTATAATAATAACCAATATAAAAGATGTAATAGATCAAGAGGAGGACGCAGTAGCTATCAACCATAAAATCCAAACAACAATGTCCGTTTAGCAACGGCACAAAGTCCGGAAAACCAACCAGAGCCCCTAGGTTAGGTTAGGTTAGGTAAGCGGGCTGCCTCCGCAAGTGGAGGCACACTTGGACTCGACTAAGCTGTCCGTTGTGATGCCCTCAGAGGGGGGAGGAAAAAAAGGGACGCAGGGAGGGTAGGGGAAAGAGGGAGGAAGCTATGGGAGAAAGACGACACCTATGGCTTTTTGCCGGAGAAACGCTCTTCAGTCGACTGATATCCACTCCCGAGAGCTCATCGGGAGTGTGAAAAAAGTGCAACCCAAGGTGCTCGAACCTTAGGCTCGCAAAGGTGGGGCACCAGCAGATGTTAAGATGATTCCACCTCATCATCCTCCATGCATCTGGTGCAGTAAGGGTTATCCGCAACATTCAGCCTTACAACATGGTTACCAATCACACAGTGACCAGCAAACACTCCCACCAATAGTTAGAGATGCAGCTTGCAAGAGCTCCCCAGACCGCCCCCGGTCCACCCGTGGCCAGAAAGACTTTGCCACTCGCCCAGCGCTCTATGAGCTGACTAAACGCCCATCTGTCCAGAAGCAGACCACACGAGGTCAGGGACCCTCCCTATCCGAAAGTAATTCCTCGAGGGTTCCCTGTCTTGCAAGCTTATCAGCCTTGCAGTTGCCAGCGATTTCGCTGTGACCTGGAACCCAAATAAGCTTAATAGCGAAATAATCAGACGCGGTCGATAGGGAAGTCAAACACTCCTTCACCGTTTTCGAACTCACCATCAGGGAGCCAAGAGCCCTGATGGCTGCGGCTGTCAGAATAAATATTAACCTCCTAGACAGATGTTACACTAGAGAGCAACCAATCCGAAGCCTCTTTTATCGCGGCCACCTCAGCCTGGAAAACACTACAGTGATCAGGTAACCTAACTTTTAGGTTGATGGAGAGCTCTTCGCAGAAGACACCTCCGCCAACCTTCCCATCCAGCTTCGATCCATCTATAAATAAGTTTACAGGTCCTCGATTCCAGATACTGCACCCCTCCCAGTCTCCCCTCGCCGGGATGTGGGTGGTAAAGATCCATTCGGACCCGGAACCGGCGTGCAATGGTCTCTCCGAGTCGGTAGGTACCCGAAGTCTTCGAATTCTGGAGTGCCCATGGCTTGAGGTGAACTTGAAGTCCACCCCTCTTAGCCTTACTTGGGCACGCGCAGCGGCAACCCTGCCAGCTATATCTATAAGCACAACATTTAACATGGCATTAAGCGCAAGAGTAGGTGTGCTTCGAAGTGTCCCACTGATTCCAATTAAGACAGCTTTTTTCACCTTCTCCAGCTGCTTGACGATGTAGGCCTTGTCAAGTGCGTTCCACCAGACGTGTACCCCATATAATAAGATTGGCTTGATAATAGTTTCATAAAGCAAATGCACTACCTTCGGCGAAAGGCCCCAGCGCTTGCCCAAGTACTTCACCCTGTCAGAGAGCATTAGAGGAAGACCACCCATTGAGGGAAGACGGCAATTCGGTATCTTATACCTCCTAGTAAAGAGAACAAGCTCCGTTTTGCTGGAATTTACACCCAGCCCGCAGCTAAAAGCCCAGTTCTCAACCAACCTCAAGTAACCCTGCATAAGCTCAAACAGTGTTTACGGAAACTTTCCTTTTGTTATCAATTCTACATCATCGGCATAGGCAACCACCCGACAGTCACTTCTTTCCAGAGACACCAGCAGGTCATTGATTACAACGACCCAAAGCAACGTCGAGAAAACTCCCCCTTGCGGTGTACCTCTAGTCATACTCCTCCGGATAGGAGCGCTGCCCCACTCTGCCGCGACAGTTCTATTGCAAAGCAAGCGGTAAATAAACCTGACAAGGTCGGCTCCGACCCCTAGCTTATTTAGGGAGTTAACTACAGCCTCAGGCAAAACATTGTTAAAAGCCCCTTCGATATCAAGGAAGGCACCGACCGCAAATTCCTTCTGCGAGAAGGATTGCTCAATATTTTCAATATTTTTAAGCATGCTGATCTAAGGAAAGGCGCTCCCTGAGGATCCGGCTCCTTAAATGCAGATCGATCAGCCACTCCAGCGTCTTCAAAAGAAACGAGGAGAGACTTATCGGCCTGAAATCCCTGGGTGATACATGAGAGGCTTTACCCGCCTTGGGAATAAACACCACTCTGACCACCCTCCAAGGCACCGGAACATGACCCTTAGCCAAACAGCCCTCGAAAGTGGGCATCAACCAGCGGCATGACACTTCTGCAGTTGGGCCGGTATTATGCCATCGGGCCCGGGGCCTTAAAGAGCTTGAACGAGCTAATGGCCCACAGAAGGCGATCCACGGTTAGGAATTCCGAGACATTCGTCTCGGGCATCGACGTCCCCAACCGCATTCCTCCCGGATCCGGGTTGCAGGGGAAATGAGCATCCGAAGAGACTCCTCGCTGCTCATTGCCCATCCGCCGCCCTCATCCCTGATATATCCCAGTGGAGCGGGATTCTTACAGAGAACTCGCCTAAACCTTGAACACTCCTGGCAGCCCTCCACGCTTTCGCAGAACAGTCTCCATGACGTCCTCTTCGCTTTCCTAATCTCGGACTTATATATCCCAAGCCCAATCTTATACAGTGCCCAGTCGGAAGCTAATTTACTCTTCCTGGCCCTATTGAAAAGGCCTCTGCTCGAGGCCCTAACATCGGAGAGCTCCTCCGATCACCAGACCGGTTTGCTTTTACCTTTGCAGTAACTCAGGGGACGAGACATATTAATGGCCCTTTTACACGAGGTGGTGAACACACCAATTAATTCGTCAATTTCGCTTTCAGTCCAGGTCTCGCCCCTCACGGGCGCAACCGGAAGCTTTTCCTGCAGACTTCTGCAGTATGAATCCCAGTTGGTTCTCCTCAGATTCCTGTAAGGTTTGTGCTTAGGACGCGCTTCGTCCAAAGCGTATTGTATGTACCAATGATCGGAGAAGGAGTGGTCACTAAGGACTCTCCAGCCAGATATACGGGACATTATATCAAAAGAGGCCAGCGTGATATCTAAAACCTCTTCTCTACTTGCCGTTACAAAAGTGGGGTCGCTCCCCCTATTACATATACATAAATTTTCATTTAGAATAAAGTTAAAGAGTGACTCACCTCTAGTGTTGATGTCTGAGCTGCCCCAAATCATATGGTGGGAATTCGCGTCAGACCCAATAACAACGCGGATCCTCCTGCGTCTAGCTTCTGCCACCGCATTCCTTATTAAGCGCGGAGGTGGCTCCACGCCGTCCTCGTGCGCCATATAAGCGGAGATCAACAAGAGTTCTCCGGTTGCACCCTCCAGGCTCACCGTCACAATGTCACCATCGCTGAAAAGAGGCAGAATAAAAGCATTAAGTTCCTTCCTGATGAGCATGCAGGATCGAGGTCTACCTGCGTCCCGCTGCACCACCAGTCTGTAGTCCCTCGTCCCGATACCAGAAATCTTATTGCAGCTGCTCAGCCACGGCCCCTGGATCAGGACTACATCAACTCCACCTTGCTCAAGGCGCCTTAGGGTGCTGAAGATTGATCTGAAGAATATTCTTCCTCCGAAATCCTCTCCAGTACCCCTCCGCAGGCGCCATCCCAATCGGACGCAAGGAGGATTTCCTTCTCCGCCCTGTCGAACAGCGGGCCAACAGAGATGACCGATTCCGCAGTTGAAGGAGGGCAAGCAATGCTGTCACTGTCCGACAAGACGGATTCGACCTCCATACCTACGGGGGCATCCTCCGCATTTGTGTTTACGCCCGCCAGCGCAACCGGAACAGGCTCGTCATCTCCCTGGAGTCAGTCTGGTAGACCTTCATGACTACCTTCTCGAAGCCATAGTAAATGACTCCCTGTTTTTCGTCGAGAGACTTGAGAGATTCCGTATTCAGTACCATCAGCGCTTGCCGGAAGTCACCGTCGGAACTCTCAAACTGGATTGCCTTCCAGTTGTGCGCTGGAAGGTCCGGGTTGCAGTAGCGGAAGATATCTTCCACCTCCCTCAGCAAGGAAGGTGCCAAGGGAAGCCAGACCCGAGCACGCGGACGCGAGGGAAGGTCCCCCTTGTCCACAACCTCGAGTCTGGCTCCCTTCCACACCTCCCCGACCAACGCTGCTGACGCCCTGTAAAGTGAGCCCGACCGCTCGTTGGCGCACACCACCTTCAAGAACATGCCCTGGTGCCAACCAGCACTCCTGCACCGCGGCGGTGGCCCCGGGTTTTCCCTGACTACCCTCATAAAAACTCCTGATAAGGCCAACGGCACCTTCCTCCAGTTTTCCCTGGCGATGGGTCCGTCCTCCTTACCCGGATCCAAAACGCCCAGAGTGATAGAGCCCGCCTGTTTAGCGATCTCGCTAAAGAGCTTAGGCGTCCTTCCCGCTCTGGACTTCTTGGATCGGTGGGTTTCCGCCTCCTGCGACCTCTGCCGCTTGCTGCACCCTGCAGCAGCAGCTGCCCCACCCTGCCCACGAGTCGATTCCGCCTCGTTTAAGGAGGAGCGGAAGAGAGGGATCGGTTTCGAATCCCCTCCACCACTCGGAAGTTTTGTAAGTAGAATTGGGTTTTTGGCTTTGTTTTTGTTTTTGATTTTGTTTTTGTTTGTTTGTGTTCATCTTGTTCGTACGACCACCTACCCGACGAGGCAGGCGCAGTGGTCTAAGTCATAAAAAGGGGAATTCAAACGGTCCACTACGGCAGCGCCCCATGCCGCAGCAAGGCCACCGTTACTCCCTGAGGCGGCCCGGTGTCACGAATGTTAAAATACAGCCGGTCTGGTAAACCCCTGGCTGCAAACCTTCCAATGGGCACGGTGTCGCTTAACACCCTGGATTAGGGGATCGGCAGTTCTTGTTCATCGCTCACAAGCAGACCGAACCATAGGAAATGGAGTGCATTCGCACAGTACCCGGAGGTAGATACACGATTACACTACCACCCGATGATAAGGTCTGGTTGTGATGCGACTAAGCCCCCGCTCCAACGGCAAGGTGCCTGCTCTGACGGAGCCCAGATCCCCTAAGAACACAATAAATATATATCATTAAAATTTAAACCACAGCATATTTGTAAAATAAATATACCAGGAAGTAATCAACTACTATCATTTTTAGTAGATTCAGAAGCAGAAATATCATTACTAAAATATAATGATTACGTATCGCAACAACAGTTAAATACAAACAACAATTCAAATGTTATGTCTGCTGTGTGTTCGAGTAAGGCGGGCGGCGTGCAGGCATGCTTGCTGGCCCCAGCTAGCTCGTCGGATGGGGGGGTTTGCTTTCACCCAGCCTACACAAACAAAAAAAAGTCATGCCTGAAAGTGTATGCTAAGTGGGAGCGAAGAAAAACTAAAGTAAGGTGAAAGAGAAGAAAAAGAATCGGTCCTGTCAGGTGGAGTCGTCCCACCCACTTCTGCGCACATTCTCCACGCAGCCTTGGACGCTGCTGCGACTCCTCAAACTTAGCAGCATCCCCTTAGCCTGGCTTTGGCCCATCTGTCTAATCGTCAGTCACTTCCTAGTCCGTATAGTCATCCTGTCTACACTCTCATTCCCCCTCTATTGCTCAAGCGCAACACTTGCACCAAAAGGATTTAGCTTAGCACACCATTATTGTAGCCTATACC